AACTCAGAATAAAATAAGTAAATATTCAACACTTTAGTTCCAGGAAAGACTGGGAATCAATAGAGCATAATTAACATGCAATCCTAAGAAAAAATGTATAAAATACCTATTTTCTTATATATTTCCTTCAAATATAGCAAGGTGTCTGTGCTTAGTGCACAGCCTTTTTTTTTTTTTTTTTTTTTTTTTTTTTTTTTTTTTTTCTGAAGACTGGGCAGGAGTGGATTTAATTTTCTTTTCTACATAAGAGTGCTTGGTGGGAAAATTAGCTTTTGAATTAAAATGCAAAACTTATTATGAGAGATCAGTTAGTTATTAAGACATTGGTACCTCCCACGCCTTTTGAGGATCTTGATCATTGGACTTAGAGTGATAAGACTAAGAGTGAATAGTGATATATTTAAAAGTGTACCAACATGTCTGGTTAGGAAAAAACTCTTGTCCTGTTGCTCAGGATAATTTAGTGTTATTTATAAGAATATTGCATAAAATTAATGCTTAGAGATATACTTCATCTTTGCTAGTTCTATTTGTGCTCAATTTTTATAGTAGACAAACTTGAATCAAAATGCTTTCTAATAAATCAAATCTTAAAACTCTATGATCACTGCCATTATGCTTTTTGGAGAGGAAGACCTCTCTGAAAAGCTGATATCAATCATTCTTGTCTGAGGTTTGAAGCAAATGTAACCTGCAAAGGCTGGTAGCTGGGCTATCTGCCATCATTGCTGGCAGCATAAAGGCTCCGGATACAGTGTTCTAATAGAGGGAATATGGAGAGAAATCTGTCTGGTTTTGACGTGTGTTAAGATTTTGAGATTAACTCATGTTTTTATGTGTGGAAACAGTGATCTAGATTTCAGGGTCTTTGGATGGCTTTCCACTGCAGTGCCCTCTGGACAGTTTGTTGCCATGTCTACTATTCTAGTTTTCTGCTTTATGTAAGACAATCCTTGTTTTTGAGGAGTGACCTGGGACAATTATTGGTCCAATATCAAAGGGGACAGAAGTTTTGGACAGAGATGTTGGCTTTGCTATTTGAATGTACAGTGCCAGTAAAATAAAGCCACAATGAAGACAGTGGTCAAATGAAATGAGGACAGGGTTGAAACTGCTTCATTATGGTACAAATGGACAGCTAACAGTCATGCAGAATAGGGAGTGCTGGAGTGCTGAATACTTAATACTCAGGATAAAGATACACAACTTCAGAATCTTCCAGGACATTTTTAGATTTCCTTTCTGTAAATGAAGGAATTGTACAAATTGCAAATCACTGGATAAAAAATATTTAAAGGGAATACACCTTTAATGTTGCTTATGACGTTAGCAGAAACCCTCATTTTAAGTGATGATTGGAAGCAAGAAATAAGAGCATGTGAACAGGAATAATTATTTTAACCCAGCTTTTATATATGCATTAAAATGTTAACATTATGGCACTCTTCAAAACAACCTATAATAGGAAAATATAAAGGTCCTTCTCTTTTTATGCTAATAAGTAATAGTCCAAAAAACCCCAAACCCAACCTTCAGAAAAAATATACAAAAATGTTTTTCCTCTGAATACATATTTAAAATGAAGACATGATGACAGCTTTCATTTAAGCACTGGACAATTTTTTTTCAGAGTTTGCTGCTGTTCATGCAAAATAAGTTGCTGTGATTGCAACATATGTATTATATGGCACATATGCTACCTCTTAGATAAAAGTGTAACTCTTGTGGTTCCTAGCATTTTTCTAAGGACATACAGTGTTTAACAGTAACAGATCTTTTTATAATACTTTTGCCATGTTTTTGGCAACTAAATATTTTTTCTTTAACCTTTCTCATTCATAAGTTAAATTTGTTGTTAGAGAAAAATGGAGTGTGGAGGTAGAAAGCAACAGTGTGAATAAGAGAGCAAGAGTGTTTTGACTGGCAGTTTTCTCTTTGGCTACCATTTTGTGTTTCTTTGTTGTAATGCAGAAGGGCAATAAATTGCCAGCTGCAAACAAGGGTCTGTTTAGCTGTGTACAGACAATCATATACAATCAATGGCGGGTTAAAATGCTGGTGTGGCACTTTAGAAATTAGGAATAAGAACCACTCCTAAGAAAATGTGGGTTTATTGTCTAATTTCTGACATATACAGTAAAATACATATATTTTCTATCTATTTGTTTGATTGTATTCAGTCTTTAAACCCTTCTAAGGGTGTGGGCTTTGAATTATGGCATATTGAAACATATTTTCACACACATGATAATGAATCACAGCAATAAGATAAATAATCAAAACTCCACCCACAGTATCAATGATTAAGTGTTTTTTCTTGAGAATATTCCCATTAAACCAGTAGAACAAACCATATGGAGGATTTTTACTACATGTGAGTAAGGAAGACAGAAAGCTTTAGGGTTGAACATGAAGCAAACTTTCTTGAAAGGACAGCATTATTTGTTCCCTACTTAAATCCTCAGTAAATGAAGTGGACCTTCAGTTTTCTCCCTCTTACTCCCAGAAATGATCCCATTATACTGGTAGTTCATAAATATGCAGCATGGCCCATCTGTTCTATCTTGTGATTTAAGATAGCATCCTGTAATTCTTTGCGACGTCTGGATCTGATCACAAAGGTAGCAGAGGCAGTGCTGAAGCCATCATTGCTCTCAGTTGTGTTGGCTCGGGGCTCCTGAGGAGCTCTGCCGTGACTCAGTTTCTGTCAGAAGGGACCTTGTGTCCCCGCCTGCTGCCCAGGGTTCAGGAGAGTGCCCTGCTCACAGAGCCCTTCCCGGACATGGGGCTGCTGCTGCTCCTGGAGGAGGGCCCCGTTGTGAATCCCTCGAGCACTTGCCTAGGGATGCTTTCCCCAGATCGGGCCAGAGCACACCGTTACACTGTCAGGCTCTATCTTCAGATGGAGATGAATTTTTAGACAATCTGTAGATCTGAGCTTACTGTCAGAATTATGAAAAGCCTTGGAAGGAATTCCATAAATGTTCAAAAATAGCTATTCATAAGCAACAACAGAATAGATGTAACAGTTTGAGAGATTTTTAAACTCCATTACTTGTACATATTTATACAATATAGTGCCTGTCACAGATAATATACAGCAGATTTATCATGCTTTATTATTTTAAAGAAGAGTTTGATCTCTGAATGACGTATGAAATAAATTGCAAATAAACAAGATGCTGCTTAATAAAACAATTAGTTCTCTGCAGGCACTGGCAGTGTTTTCTGAATTCTTATCAGCCCTGGTTTACAGCTGTAACTTCAGGATATAATAGGAGATTGAATCGTATACAGGCAACAAAACAGATGATCAAATTCACAAGGGATCATATCAAGCTTTTTCCAGTACCAAAGAAACATATTAATCCTTGTCACTGTTTTTTGAAACGCTGTGACAGAAATAAACCTGTACTGTAACTTGGCCCTTTTAATGAGCTTCTGGAGTGTGGGCCTTCTACTCAGCACCTGAAAAACACAACAAAACACCTTTTATATTAAAGATGTGAGGTTTGCTGCTGGCTAAATTTGTACACAGAAGTCTATAAACCAGTGCTCAGCCAGCTGGGAAGCAAGAAAGCAAATTCAGATTCTGTCATGAACTTCACAGACCAATTATCTACTTGGAATCATGGGAGTTTAACAAACAAATACCAGCCCCTGCTGAGCCTTTTCAGTCCAGCAGCTTATGGGTGATTCAGTTGCATCAGAGGCTTTTAGACTGATCAATTCTTAATCACAAAGCGCAAAAATTATTCTCAGACTCATGTCAGTTTCTTTGGACACCTTTGTTAACAATCTGCTTCAAATCATTTTTTTAAAGAACTGCAGACACTGTTTTTATTGACTTGCCACTTGTAAAATGTTTATAGCTTGTTAATTTATATTTACCCCTTTACTTTTGCCTGCAAATCAACATCACTTAGCACAGTTTGGTTACACTTTGTCCAAAGGAAATTACAGAAGCCTGCTATGGAGGTAAAATGAAAGAAAGCTGAGGAAAATCAATACACTGATGATTAAACAGATCGTAGCAAATTCACGGTTGTAAGCTACAGCATGGAGACATCAGTGTGATGCCTATCTAGCGGTTAATGTCCTTTCAGCCAGTTGAAGAAAATTTTACAATAAGGCAAAATGTAACAGAAAAAATATAAGCTACTACAGAGCAATCCTTTTTTTTTGCTCTGTAGGAACAACCCTGTTATTCAAATTTTATTTTGCTATTTGTCTTCACAGTAACTGTAGAAAAAGGTTTAGATTTAAGAAAAAGAAAATCTATTTTATGAGAAAATTTGCAGTGGGAGTTTTAAAGAACTCTGACTTGCAGTATCATTCAAATCTACTGTAAAAGCTCTGTGTTTACTGTTATTTTAAACCACTCTTTTCTGTCAGTGAAGTTCAAGTGTGAGAATTTCTATTTTAATCTTCCTTTTGCTTTAATTAGAAGACAAAAAGGTATAAGCCTGTTTCTAAACAAGTATCCTAACAAGAATGAAAATATTTAGTGTAAATTGTATATTGTTTAACAAAGTGAGAATCTGTCACTGCTCATTTTAATAGAGAAAATTTAGACTAAAAATAGGCAAATGGGGTTTTTTGCATAGTCAATTCTTGTTTACATTTAAAAGCATGGAAGAAGTATTCAAGAAATTGACCGGGAAGAAGAACAGACTTGGGAATAATAACCAAACACCAGTACCAGAATAAAGGAAGAGTCCTGAGTGGGTCCAGAGACTTCAAATTTGTAGACACTTCTAACAGGACAGGTTTCCTCTCTACTACCCACTGCAGTGCCTCCACAGCACAATGTGACTCTGTGTGGTGTAGGTTTACTAACCAGTAGCCATATACAATAGATTATGTATAATGAACTCAAAGTGCTAGGCTAAAATTATCATTATTGATAGAACAGGGATGTCAGAGAAGAATTGGTTGCAAACAGAACAAAACAACTCTGGCCTGAGCTTTTGCGTATCAGCATATGCCTATTTCAGGGGGTTTCAAAGGCTGGTGTAAGGAGATGGCCCACAGAGATGGCCTCATTCCCTCCTAAGAAAGGATATTCAGGGAGAAAGGAGATTATTTCTCCCTCTCACACAGCTTAAGGATCCGCAGAAAATGTTCACTCTGGTGAAGGAACGTTGCTGACCTACTCCTTGATTTCCCTGCCAGCCTGGAGCCTTTCAGTCGCCTTGCCCCGGCGGTGCTGGTGCGCTACCGTGGTGGCACAGCGTGGGCAGGGGCTGGCAGGGCCGGGAGGGCAGCGGTGTCCATGCGCTGCCAACTGCTCCGACCACATCCCTCAGCACTCCCCAGAGCTCCACCGAGTCACCACAGCTGCATTCAGCTTCCTCCTGCTCTGCTCTGTTTATCCAGAGCTGTGCCTGTTTACAGGCTCACGAAAAATCATCAGAAGAAAACACTTGGGCCTTACTTCTGAACTCTAATGCAATAATGCTGCTCCTCACAGATGCATACCGCCTTTCTTTTGACAATTTCCAGAAGAACCATGGTTTTATACTTGAAAAATAATCCTGAAATTCTTTATTTTAATTAGGAGAGTCATCATAAGGAGAACATGAAGTGCCAGAAACTTTATCTGTGTGCTAAGCTACATTCTGCTGCTGATTTATTTATATGATGGACTGTCTTTATTTAGCTGATAATTTTGTCCTTTATCCAGTCTTAAAAAATCTGCTGTTTTTCTAAGAGGTTCTGCACCAAAAAAGATTTTTGTTTTGGTTTGAAGCAGGTAAATGCATAATTGCTTTAATAAATAACATTTAATTAGTCAAAAACCAAATAATCTACAACTAATTTTTCTGAATGATAGCATCTTGTAACCTGTGGTGTCATCTGGGGAGCTATAGGTTCAGCAGTATTTTAAGATGTTTAAAAATTCCCAGTAAAATATAGACCAAAATATTCTCAATAGAAAAAAAACGTAAGAGTTATAAATAAAAGTTATAAAAAGAGTTATAAAAAGAGTTATAAAACACAAATAGATTTCAAAGAAAAAATAATCTTTTCTGAACTCAACCTGTGCAAAAATCCAGCCACATTTCATATTTTCATTTCAAGTTGCAAACTCAGTACAAGGATGAAGAAAATTAAAAGAAAATGCAAATATAAGAGATATTAAATATATAATGCAAAAGAAAATTAAGATAAAATACATTATTAACTGAAAATTTGTCGCTTCCACAATTCACATAGCAGTTTAAAGTAAAATCTCAACTAAAATGTTTTAAAAAGTTTTAGTGATGTTTTCTGTCATTGAGATCACAAACAGGAATTAGAAACTAATCTTTGAAAAGATTTACTTATAGCGAACTGTATAATAGAGTGATAATTTTACTGAAAGATTTAACTTCTCCTGTGTTTTTCTCTAATTCTTTATCTAGAGCTGTAATGAATAGGATAAAATAACTGATAGTGAGAGTTGTAGTAAAACATGTCTGCATGATATTGATAGACTAAAAAGTGAAAAAAAAAAGCTACTGGAAAATGTGGGAAAAGATCCATGCCAGAATCCTCTTGGGTTTGCCATTTTAATTGTGCTCTTGGGTATGTAGTTTTCAAGATTTTCTTCAGTTGTGGCATTGAAGGAAAAGTAAAATGAAGTGACAGAACAGATTAGAAGGCGATAATGGAAGGGAAAGTGAATAAACCAAGTGTAAACTTTTGAGAGGAAACACTAGTGTAAAGCCCACTAGTTATGTGCTATTTTGAAAAAAATTTTGTAACTCCAACACTTTGATGAAGATGACAAATGAACTTTTTTATTAAGTAGTGATACATATTCAAGAGTAAATATGAACATGTTACCAAAACATCCTTTTTCAAGGGGCAGGTTCTTTGAAGTTACTACAAATCTTTGCTATTTATATTAAAATTTCACAATAAGTTTATTCTGAAGAAAATACTCTACTGCTATTCAGATGCTTACACGAATTCTATTGAACTATGATATGCTATTTATGAATGGAATTCTTGTTAATTTTGGCATATATAATTAATTTAATTATGGAAAGCATATAATTAAAACAAAGTATAGCCATAATAAATGTTAAGAGTTTTTTTGGTAGCAAAAAAACCAAATGCAAAGTAGTATATTATGATGTTTGATGTAACTCCCTATCAGCAACAAAATTCCTTGAAAAACTCTGAACAATGCACTTTTTTTTAAAACTTTGTCAAGCTTATTAGCTTGCTAAAGATCTGATCATTAAGAGTTTAGATTGTTTCTCTGTTAAATCAGATATGCCTCCTACAATTTTTACAATGCTTCCTTTATAAATTAATTGTTCTTCAGTTATTTGTTAAAGAATCTCCCCCACGTGAAAAAGCAAAATCTCAGTAGATGCGGATTTTACACTGCACTAGATCAATCCCAATACCAGTAAATGGATATTATTAAACAGCATGGGGTAGTGCAAACTGGGAAAGAAAACTTGTAGTGTGCTGCCTTTGAGCAGACCTGGCTTGCATGCTGTGACAGGGCAATTGTCGACATGCTTTTTCATGCCAATCTGCAGCTTTTTCAACTCTAGATGCTATGGCAACCAGGGTTTAACAGACTAAGCAGCTAACAAGCTTCCCTGATGGAATTGTCTGGTTGTATGATTGCCTTGTCTTAGTGAAAATATAAAATAGACTAAAGACACTTGTGGACATTTGTCAAACTGATTATAATCTGGACACTCAGCTCATAATTATCTGTTATGTATTGCATAGTATTGACCGTCAGTGTTTTCCATGATGTCTGTAGAGAACCCAAGTGTCTTTCTGTGCACCCTGTTTCCTGTGGAATGAACGGGTTTTGGTTAGGCTGAGTTGGTCAACATAGCAGTTAAAATTACATGGATATAGGAAATAAATGCCATTAGTTTAAAGGTTTCTTCCCCCTCTTTCTCTGTTTGTTTCTTTTTTGTTTTGTTCTGGTTTTTTTTTTTTTTTAGTTTGCTATAAAAATAAAAGAAAGGAAACAAAAGAAAATTTTAAAGTAACACTATTCTTTACAATCATAAAATTGGAAAAAAAAAGACATTTTCAGGAAATGGTTTTAAAAATCTGTAAGTTTCTTTATCAGGTAGTTGAGTCTTTTTTGGCCCCAAGGAATGGTTTGTGTTTTTTACTTGCTTGTTTGTTATTTTTTAATTTATTCTCAGAAGAAAAGGGCATTCACCATAAAATACGGGCCTAAGACTACATGTTTCCCAGCACCTTTTACAAGCTGAAATCTGTGGAGCTCATTACTTTGCAAAGACTGCTTGGCCACTTGTAGAACACTGGTTTATTGTTTTGAATCTCTTTCAATTCTATTGAAAGCTAAGCAGAATGTTTTTACTGCGGTATTTTCTTGTTGTTATTGATTGGTTGGTTGTTTGATTTGTTTGTTTGCTTTTGTCCTGAGGTGAGAAATTCAGATTTCATATTTTTCTATGTGGATTTTTTTTGCGGCATTTTTACTCATACTGCATTTTGGGATGAACCTTAGCAGGCTACAAGAAGACCCATAGGATGCAGGTAAAGTCTGAGTTCACAAGTGGGACTTTTGTCTTTGGCAGTTTGACTCTTGAAGTTATATCACTGCAGATGGTCCTGACTAAGGGTATCCTCTCAGTGATATTATTTTAGGGATGTTGTCTGCTACTGTACCTCTGTGAGGCCAGCAAATACCCAGCTAATTAGGCCAGCTAATTCATTCTTTCCTATAGGCAGTGGAATTCCTTATCCAGTTGTGCAGGTTGTCCTCAAGGCCTCATGAGTGAATGTTACAAAGGTGAAGTGTTTTTTTCATGAAGGAGAAGGTGAATGTCATGGACAGGCTATTTGCAATCCGGCATTCTTCTTGCAAATATGAAGAGTTCCAATACAATATACAATTCCAAGGTGAAAGAACAGTATATTGTTAAGTGAGCAAGGAAAAATACCTAACAAAGTTTTATTTACTGAATGTATAGACTTGTTAAATGTTCTGATATTTAAGATTCTGAATTCATGTGTGGTTCATAAGTATGCCCACGTGCTCAAGAAGGAGATTGGCATCCTGGCCTTTATCAGCCATAATGGGGCCAGCAGGGCCAGGGCAGTGATTGTCCCCCTGTACTCAGCGCTGGTGAAGCCACACCTCGAGACCTGTGTTTGGTTCTGGGCCCCTTACTACATGAGAGACATTGAGACATGATCATGAACAGAGAAGGGCAATGGAGTTGGGGAGTGGTCTAGAGACTAAGCCACAGGAGGAGTGGCTGAGGGAGCTGGGGCTGCTTAACCTGGAGAAAAGGAGGTGCAGGAGAGACCTTATTGGTCTCTACAACTGCCTGATAAGAGGCTGTAGTGAGGTGGAGGTTGGCCTCTTCCCCCAGGCAGCTAGTGATAAGACAGAGGAAATGGCCTCAAGCAGCTTTAGGGGAGGTTCAGGTTTGATGTTGGGAAGAATTTCTTCACTGAAAGGGTGGGTAAGCATTGAAACAGGCCATCCAGGGAAGTGGTGGAGTCACTGTGTGTGGAAGTGTTCAATAAATGTTTGGGTGTGGCACTTAGTGCTATTGTGGTGTTTGGTCAAAAGTTGGGCTCAATCATCTTGAAAGTCTTTTCCAACCAAAATGGCTCTGTGACTTTACAACTGTTAGTTTCTGTTTCCAGTTCGTACTGATGAAGAGTCAAAAATGCATCTTTGATAACAGGGCATCTGTAAAAGGCTTAGTCTTTTGCTCTTCCAGCTTCGGAAACCTTCAAAGAACAACTTTCTGTATAGCTTTAGAGACATCCAACAAAAGCCAATACCTTCTTTTAAGCAACCCATTAGATTTCTACCCAGTTGGCAAGAAAGATAAGGCCATAGTCTTTGCTTGATTGTATAAACCCCAAACCAACCTTTGTAAGCTACTCTTCCAAAGAATCACTGTGTTCATCATAAGTTTTATGTTTTTTTCATATAAATATTTTGGCTTGACATAATATTGTGTGATAAAATTTATTTATATTTTACATCTTCAGTTGCACAGACTTTGAAATGTTTTGCAAAAGGACTTTTCTTGTTTTTGTTGACTGAATGGGAAAAATATCATGGTGTCAATACTCCAGTGTCCAAATAATTAACTTTGGCTGTGGGAAGCAGTAACTGTGACCTGTGGCGCCTTTGGTCACTGTCTCATATATGGGACTTCCAGGTCTCAGCCACCATCTAGCCATAGTGCAAGTCATTAGCCTCTTTTTGGCCATCTGACTTGGTGCATGCACCATTCATACTATTTGAAGTTCACTGCACCTTAAAACAGAAAATACAAGTTTGCCAGTTACAGGAAATCTTTTTTCATTAGTTCAAATCAAAGATTCCAATTAAAAAGAGGTGTCAAGAAAATTTTAAAAAATTACCCCAAGCTCTCAGTCACTGTAGGTGTGATTTACACCCTTCTCCAAGTGTCCTTGCTAATGGCAGTGGGTTGGAACTATATGATCTTTGATGGCCCTTCAATTCCAAACCATTAAATAATTCTGTGATTGTTTTTTCCTTCCTATTAATGTACACATTGAGACTGCATATAGCTGACTCTTGTCTTTGAAAATCAGATTGTCAGGAGGCAAAAAAATTCCCAAATTATTTGTTTTTCTATTTTTTTTTCCTGGACATCCTGTTTTAAAACAAAATTAAACAGAAAACCATTGCTTTTGGTCCTGTCAGCATGACTAGAGGTCTGGCAGATTTTGAACTGTGATGACACTTCATCTTTCTGTGAATATTTACCTATTTAGTCTTAGAAGAATGTGATATTAAATTTTCTAACTATATTTGCATATAGAATTTACCTATAGAAAACACAGATTTGTCTTAAAGGAAAAGCTGAAAGGACATCAAAGAAACAGAAGGTCCTGTAATGTACTCCTAAAAAACATCACCAAAAAGCATTTAGAACACTGGAAAAATGAGAAACACATCAGGAAGTCATAATCAACATACAAGGAAACATCTCCAATATATTACAATAGAACAAAAACTTTTTTTTTAATTGAACACTAAGGATTTTCCTGTTAAACTGAGATAATATTGAAGCTGAGGACTGTCTGCTACAAGTTTCCTTTATATAAACATAAAGATAGAAAAAACTTGACTAAAACCTAAATAAAGAAGTGTAGCATCAGAACATAACTGCCAGTGATCAGAATAAAGCAGTTAATAATGTATATTGCCTTAACTTCTGTCATTAATATAGTGGGACTGGCTAATATTATCTTCATATAATCCAACTCTGCTCTAGGATCTATTCAATTTTTATGGCATTCAAGTAGTACAACAAAGAAATGTGAAAAGAATTCCCAGTAAATGTTCTTCACTAAAAAGCAATCAGCCCATCCCTATATATAGAAAAAGAAGTAGTATCTTTTAAAAGAAAATTTCAGTCAGGACAAAAATTGAATTTTTGGTATGTAACTTATTCTTATAATGCCTGAATTGCTAAAATAAAAGGGAAAGCATTTTAAAGAATCTAACATTTTCAAATTATAGATGAGACTAACATTTTTTTCTTCTATCCAGCTGTGTTGAATCTCAAGTTCTGTGCCTTATTCTAAAAAGGTTAATGCCTGTTTAGAATATATATAGCTGACTGGACATTATTATATGAATAATATATATATAATAAAAATGTTAGTTTATATATATAAACTTGCAGATAAATGTACATATAAAGCCTTAAAAAAGTCACCAAACACTAAAGACAAGCTGACCATTTATATCTTTCTAATTAGATATTAGAATATTTTGTCATTTTAAGTGTATCCATGTATGCATTAATATATGAATACATACTAATTATGCTGGTTTTTTTTTCATAGTGTACAAATAGATTTTTACTTTGTGATCAGATTTCTGATCTTTGCAATAGGGATAAAGGCGCTAACAAATGGATTTCAATTGCTAATTTTGAACTGAAAACACTGCTTCATCCAAGTTACTTCATTTCCCCTGTGATATCCACATAATTCTGATTTCCATATTTTGCCTTTACCTGCCTGCTTAGTGACTTAATGAATAGCTGTTTCTCATGCTAGAATTAAAAGAGTTAACTTTTGCAGAGAAAAGATAGTGTCAGTACTTATTTTGCTTGAAATGCTGGCAATATAAAAAAAAAAACCAGTAGCAATGGAATGTGTCCTGTGCATTGTATAAGAGAGAGTAATGCTTCTTTATTATGAAAGAACATTAAAAGGCTTTTCTACAAAGGTTTGGCTTCTATAAAAGAGTCATTTTCAGGAGCTTGAAATGGTTGGCTGAAGCACACATCAATTTGTTTGCTATTTCTAGAATATATTTTATCAACACCTTTTCTCTACAATTTACATTTTTCAAAATGTCACTGTTTCTGTGTGAGATACTAAGTATGGACCAATTAACTATTGATGCGTTCTGCCAAGAAAAAATGTTGCGATATAGCATATATACAGGACAGAATAAATATTCTATGATGGAAACGTGGAAATTACAGGCTACTGGTGAGTAATGCATCTTGAATATTACCTGAAGCCATGAGTCAGATGCTAATTATTAATGTAGAATCTGTTATAGAAATAGTTGAAATTGGGGAGAAAAAAAAGAACACAAAGTCATCTAACATTTTAGTTTTTATCATTTCTAGAGGAAAAAACCATCTTACCTAACCTGTTTTGAAAATGTATTCAGCTAGGAAAATTTTTAAATTTGGTTTATACAGCCAGAATGGTTTCAGCACAATCAGACTAAAAGCCTCTTAAAAAATCTCTACACAGAAGGAAGTGTCTGAAAAAGTTAAATCTTCTCTGAAGCGACACTGAGGCTACTCTATCCAGGTGAGGATGTGATAGAAAAAAGAAATGGGCTTTTAGAAAGTATCTTATAATCAAAAGTATTTATTGTCCTTTTTAAGTGGTCTGGAGAGAAGTCCTCTGGAGCCCTTCAGGTTTTTTTTTTTTCTGGTGACTCTAAAGTAGGGACTGAGGAATGCCAGAACATCTCATGCTGAAGGCAGTTCATAGGTACTTGCTGGTGGTTCCTATGTTCCCCGTTCTTAGATAACTGGCTATTAGTCCAGAAATCATGGGGTTTGGCAGTAACTCAAATACTAGTAGCTACATATTGGTAGAGAATGGTTGGGCAGAAAGTGATTCTTCTTAAAAAATTACTTTGGGTAAATTTTAGTTATTGTCACCAGTTTTTGAAACCACCATGTGGTATCACTAGATGATGAGTCAATCTATAGTAATTTAAAAAAGAGTAAATTTTTATGGCAGCTGTATCTGTATGTTATTTCATTTCAAAATGAGGAAATGCCTCTGTAAATACACACCCATTAAAAGTGGTCAAGATTAGAAGCCTTATATAACCTTAAGGTAGCTGCTGGGTCTCAAGAACCTCTGTAGGAAACGGAAAAAGAAAGTGGGAGATTGTAGTTACATATATTTTTTTCCCAGAGCTGAAGTTTCTGAGGTCTTAGTCTCCTGACAATCACAAAGATGAGATGTAGCCATAAGTGCAATCTTATGCTGCCAGAATCCATGACACGAGCTGGCTGCATCAAAGGAAGAGATTCTTTTAGAGTGAGTGACTATTAAGGAATTTGGGTGATGACATGTAATCTTTCACAAAGATGCTTATTGAAAAACTGTCCCTCATATAGGCACAACCACTTCTGAAGATCCTTGTCTTCAGCCCACTTCAGTAAAATTCAGAACTCCTGCCTGTGCTCAGTTGCATATTTTGTCCTATAGGACAATTTGTGGGAGTAAACCACCAAGGCTATGTTCATTCATATAAGTAAGCATGGTTTTGAAAGATAAAACCTTTTTTCATGTGGGTAAAGCAGCACATGTTTGCACATGATTGGTTTCTCTGAAAAGACAACTCCACTTTCTCCCGTCACATTTGGACACACTTCTGCAGGCTTTACCCCTATTCAAGAAGTTTTAAATAATGTTTCATTAGGTAAAAACATCTGAGGATAAATGGGTAGCGACATGTCAGACTGTTTACCTCTTGTTTGGAATATCTACTTCAACCATTTCTTTGGTGAGCCCTAAGTTCTATTTTATACTTTGCAGACTTGAATTTCATGGTGTTTGAGTATAGCAGAACTGCAATATTAATTGAAATATTCACTTTGGATAAATGTTTGAACTAGTCTTCTAGATACTGTGTGTTTTGAAAGTTAAGTGGACAGAATTTTAAAAATAGTTGTGCTGCCATCAGAACTCCTTTCTCCTGTACAGAGACCTTCTATTACTATTGGGTAATGATGTATATAACATAATACATTAATGTTGCTTTAATGTGTTCAATTGTACAGAAGAATGTAGTAATTAGGCAGTAAGGCATTCTTTTTACTATGACTTGATGAGGTGGTCAATTACCTGTGCTATATGACAGCAAGTGGTACTATTGGTTTAACTTAATAAGTACATTGACAAAAACGGCCACTGTGATGTACATTAGTTGCGCTTAAAAGGTTCCTTTGAGTTATTACCAAAGTAATACCTCAAATATAAATTAATTTAATTTGTTTAGAACAGTTTACACTTTACACATCATTAAATCTTTTTCTATAGCAGATTGTACAATACATTAGGTAAATTATAAATTTCTAACCAAAAAGTGAAAATTTGACCATAATGGCTACTTAGAAAAGATAAAAGGTAACAGTTTAAGCAGAACTTGCCTTTAACTGAAGCTCTTAAACTAAGGTTGATAGAAAACAGTTTTTGAGAAGAAGTAATGAATACCGATTTATATAAAATGCTGTTCACTGTATTTTCCTTTTTGTATTAAACTTAATGAATAGATATACCTTTTTTTATTTTGTGGTACCCTACCATTAAATGATACCATATTTTTTTTCCTGCCTAAATAAATTCTAATTCTTGTCACCTACTATCTGTACAGGAAGATTTGAGACATTATTCCTAATTGAGATTTTTACTGAATATCTTTTAAAGATAAATTTGTTTTATTCTTTCACCCACTATTTAAAAGGATTTTTCACATTTTTATCTTCTAAAGGAATTGTCAATGAGAAACTAAAACTGCATAGACTATACATTAAAATCACTTTAGTTTTTAAGCTGTCATGAACTGTTTCAAAAAATGCTAAGTTGCTATTGTTTAATGTCTGTCATTTTATAATGCTTTAGAAGTTATCTATCCTGTAAAATTATTAACTGATGCTAAAATTGCCTTGTAAGTATTAGGACAATAGCAATTTTGTAACAGCTGGGACACTGCCAATGTAAGATAAGTACATTTTGCTCTGTAGATTCATAAAGTGCTTTGAAATGGTTTGTAACTGATGGATGGATGCATTTTCTAAGTGTAGAAAGCAATATTTTGTAGAGGGAAATGGCTTGAAAGCTGACACACATGCATGCAAATGCCATTCTCTTCAGTAAGTAATTTGCTTTTTCTTTCAAAAGCATAAATGGCATAGTTAGACACATTATTTTGTATATTGCACATAACAATACAAGATGCACAAAAACAGCAAGTACAAAACATTTCATATTGATAGAGGAACCCATGGCTGTAGTATATGATTAGCATAAATGTATACACACTGAAGAAATGCCTTCAGGATTAAAAAGTAAGGCTGAAAACAGGAAAAGTTCTTCTAACTTCAAGAAATGAAAATATTTAAAATATACTTTTTAGACCTAGAGTTGTGCCTTTTAAAAATTAAGCTGCATAGAGCCTGAACCAGATCATATGCTCAGTATTGCATGTGACCCAATGGCCCCATATTGGGATTTCATTCTGAAGACAAAATATTTCAATTAATCCTCAAAGTGTTTGTATGTCAGTGACAAAACCCAGGAGAATACTACTCTGGAATATATGTAGGCATGGATATTCTTATAATTTAAGAACATTTTAATGCCAAAATTGATTTCTGATTTATATAATTGTTTCCTATTTTGGTTTATATAATTGTATTGTTTAGGTCATCCGCATTGTAAAACTCACACTAGCCATGAAAACTTCTGGCCAGCTTTCATAATGATCTTTCATGTAAACCTGATGCTTTAGGTCCTTGCTCTTGGAAATTTCCATGCCCACTCAGCTATCCAACGCTGATGAATACCAGCTTCACTGAGCAACTGAGAATAACACAGCTAAGCCTATACTGAGTAAGTGAAATCTTAGTCTAGAAAATGGTCCCCAATGAAATCTTTGGAATATCAACTTCAGCAGGTCTACTCAATATAATTAGTGTCAACATATGGCCTTTTTGTTTAAAGGAAGGAACATTTCCTTCACAGAATCTTGTTAAATCTCTCATTCTACAATTATTGTAATCATGACCTCTATTGTTCATAATTTCCACTAAAATTTTTGCTTCTACATCAGCTTCTTAAGATATATATTCCCATTAGATACAAAACAGCCATTAATCTTAATGGAAGCTATGCTCAGAAATGGAGTGGAAAAGGCACCCAGGAGGTTTTGTCATATCTTTAAATTCAGGAACAAAAAAATTGATTTGAGTGAAATTCTGATAATGAATGCACATTGTTGAAGAATTAAAATCTAAAATATATTTACATACCTTCTGAATTTATATTAAGAAGGATTGAAACAATACTTCTACTGGATTATGTGGCAGAATTCATGCTGATTTCATCCTAAGAAAAGCTGCTCATTTTTTTATACTGTAGGAAACTGAGTAGGGTGAATAGCTCATAAGAACAGCTTATCTGACAATCTGGGTCTTAATATGCTTGATCCTTGCTTGTGAACAGATGATATTATTTTAAGAAGTATACAGTCTTTTTTACAATATAAACCCATTTTATTTATTGTTTGTCCCACAACTTTATATTTAAAATTCAAACTTGGAACAGAAAAGTTTGTTATTTACCACATGGCTTTCACTCTTTTTCTGAACTTGATATCTGTAAAATGCATGAAAAAAACCCTTGAAAATGATTCCTTTTTCTTGGTAATAAGCTCTTTAAAAGCATCCTGAAGATTGTTTATGTTTTTGAAGTATTTGAAAATCTCTTTTTAGAATTAATTGTCAGGTTTTTGATTGTAAAATTGTTGGCAACATTATAACACAATGACTGATAAAAAGAATAAACCCACAATCAAAATAAAAAAATCACTCATGATTATTGTCCTTCAGAAGACATTGTTATCCCTATGTGTATTAAAATAGAATAAAATTATTAATAATAGGAATATTTTGTTTTTAATGGAAAATCCTGATTGCAGTTCTTTAGAAGATTGTCATAATACCTCTTTGTTTTGAAGGGTCAGTTTGTAGAAGGAAACGTGAGAAAAACATTTAATCAGAAACTGGCAAACAGTCAGTGGACTGGCAAGAATTTGATGGTAAACAATACTTCTCCATAAAATTGCCAGATTGAAAGGATCTGATGACTCCCACTTCTAGGAGCTACTTGGAAGAGTCACAACTATTTTCATATGCATGTGTTTTTAGAAACAAGTTGCCAAAAAGAATCACAAATATCAATTTACGAGAGTAGGTTAGGTGTTTATCTGTATTGTATCTGCCCTAAGGAGAAATTTCAGTACATGGGGTATGTTTGTCACTTGAGATTATGGCTATAACGCACAAAACCTTCTGCTATTTTGATAGCTGCCGTGACTGGAGTCCATAGGTTGAAACTGAGCCTTGGAAGACCATATTTTTTTTTTAAATCTATAATATATGCAACCTTTGAAACTACCAGAGATGAGTTGAAAATACAACGGATTCAATAACTCAATAAACTGAAGAAAAGTATTGTATTTGCATTGTATTACAGGTTGACTAACATTATAGTTTTCCTGAAAGCAGTATTTAAATAAAATGATATGTGGTTTTGCTTTGCAAAAAAATAAGTAATTTGTTTGTTTTTGGAAAAAAATTAAAATTATGTGCTTTTGGGGAAAAATACATGAGAAAATGAAAACCAAAGGCATTGTAAATACTGCTTTTACAAGCTGCACTTTGAAGTTTTCTTTTCTTTAAGTGAAAGTATAATTAATTACTAAGAAAATGAGAAAAATGTTTTCATTATTTTTTTTTCCATTTCTCTTATGTTTTCCTTAAATTGTATCACATAATTTCCCTGCATGTTAAAATCATTCTTTGTAAAAAAAACACAGAGAAAAAAAAACCCTCCCTAAACCAGGTAAAAAATTAAAGTCTTGATTTCCCCACTTTGTCATTCTTCTAGAAATTATGTGTGTGTGTGTGTGTGCACTGCACACAACCTTGTGTCAGTCCTATTGCTAAGCAATAAACATAAAAAAGTTCTTTAGGAACCAACTGTTCTTAATGTTATTTAAAAATTATGCTAAAGCATTTGTGAATAACATGAAATCAGATTATGTTTTATTTGAAGAAATAAGTAATATGAACAAATATTTTGAGTACTGTTTTCCCAGAGTGTGCATATTGACAGTGTTTAGTTACCATATGCAGTACAGTGCAGGAAAAGTACATCTTTGGTTTTAAGATGATGAAACTACTACTTCATTAAATAATGCTAATTAGAGGGAGAAACTAGACATCACACTGGAGACAAAAGCAATTCTGTTGTCCCAGCTTTCCAATCAAAACCACTGGAAATTCTTTTTCTTAATCTCATAAGGAGCTTGAAATATCTGTATACTGCAAGAGCCTTCAGACTCCTAAACTGGGATTTTTTTAGAGCAGCATAATGTTTGGATTAAAACTCCCTTTGTATCTTTTGAAAAAAGAAGAAAAAGTGTCCTAATGGAAATAGTATAAATAACTGAGACACACTGTGCCTTTGGGAAAAAACTGTTTATGAAGAAAATGCTTAGTGAGAGTTTGGCCATGATTTAGGCACTACTTTCAATTCTTCAGTTTGGCCTATTGTGAAGCAGGTGGGATCATTTTCTTCAATACAGTTTCTGCAATTCCATCTCACTGTTATTTTAGCTCGTAATTAGGTGTCAAGCATTCTGAGCAGGTTATACAGAATATATACACTAGTGATTTGAATAGGTTTTATGTACTCTAGCTATCAAGACACATTAACCTTTAATCATAACAAGGCCTGGAGTCAAAAGAAACTTGGTGAGAGGTTCAAAACCATAGCTTGCCACACTCATAAGTCCATCATTCCCAATTTGCTACTTTCAGGCTGTGACTCAATAGCTAGTATTATAAGACTGAGATGAAACAGTAAGGTAGTTGTAAATAAATCATTACACCCAAAATGTTTTATTTTCAGAATGCAATGGTCCTGGCAACAAAAAGATTTACTTCCAGTGAATCACTGGCAGGTACTTTCACATTCTAAAATTATAAAATATGTGAGATTCTGGCAGGTTCACTTATCTCCTCAAAATGTCTTTTATAAAATTTTACACATCTGTCATACTTTTTATCAACTTCTTTTTTTTTTTTTTTTTAAACCATTTTGCATGTATTAAGGAATTGAGTATGAGCATTCTCTAAACAGGTCAATGCCTAATGTCATCATCTTTTTTACAAGACAGAGAAGAAGACAAAGGTTCAGTGCTGGTTATTTATGCACCGTCTGTGAAATGGTGAACCCCTTTATCTTCTATTAATTTATATATATGCATTGACATGTATGCATTCATATATGCATATATGATATGTAATACATTCATACATATGTATTGACCTAAATTAAGATTGAGACGGGTCTTATTCACGATTAAATAAGACATCAGTGATATAGTTCTGATATAGTCTGTGCTGGTATAGTCTAGACATTTGAGGCAGTAGGAACCACTTACCTTTTGTAGTAAGGCAGAAAGAGTTCAGAGGTTGCTTAGAAGTTTCTCTAACTTAAGATAATGAATAAAATAAAGAGCTTGTACTCTTTCATTGGCTCAGCCATTATTAGAGGCAATAGACCACCTTGTGATTGCTTTGCAGGAGACTGTGAACTTTATGGGATATAAAGACACAAAACAGAACAAGTTTTTCAAGGCTTTTCTGAGCTTGTCAGGAAAACCAGCTTGTCTGGGTCTTCACATACAAAAATTTCCTTCCTTTCCTTCCTTCCTTTCCTTCCTCTCTCCCACCTGCCCTCCCTCCCAATGCCTGTTTTTTTCCCTTGCTACTTTTAAATGTACTTATTTGCTATTTCACTCCTTGGTCAGCTATTTTCATTCTGGCTGCTTAAAATTTCAGACCTGTGGCTTACAGCATAATTTTAAAAGTTACTGAAAAGTGGAGGAGTTAAAAATATTTTTGGCATAAGATAAATGATGAAATAATCCATATTTACATGAGAGTAAGGGTGATATAAGTATTTGCATAGTGTATTTTTTAACATTACATTGAATTTTCAGTAAAATAGAGAATATTTATTCTTGTACATAAATAAAGAAATAATCTCAATTCTGATACTTTTGTAAGAGTGAAAAATGCCAGGTATTTCACTGTACTGTGTATCTGATGCATCTATACTGAACAGTAAAACAACTTTACAGCGCCACCTTTGAGAGTCTCGTGTCTGAGAGTCTGTCTCTCTCATGTGAGAGTCATGATCTCAGATGTCCTTATGATGAAAGGGACTGAATAAAAGAAAAGGACTCCATAAATCACATTTCACTACTGAAATGTTTCATTTGTGTCAGCAGATCATATGGGTCTTCCTGGCCTGGGACTTATCATATGAGAGGCAGAAGAGTGATTTGGAGGTAAGATGGTGAGGAAATAGAACTACTGTGTTAGGTGGCATCAACAAGAGAAATAGGCTTCAAGTAGAGCTCTTCCTGATTGACTGCCAGGCAGAGGAATCTTAATTTCACTATAGTTAAGAGGGAAATGAAGATCATGTATATTGCAGGCAGTTAAGAAAATCACTCTTAGAATTCAAGGATGCATGGCGGTATATTTTATTAACGGTTTTCAAAACTGTAGTTATCAAATGCCTTTCTTTCACTTCCTGCAGATTAAAGGTCTGAGTTGCTGAACCTGACACCATGAAAATGCAAAAAAAAAAAAAAAAAAACTCTAGGAATATTCTTTTTGTTGTTTATCTGACAATTGGACTAGTTCTGATTTTTTTCTGGTTAGTTTTAATTTTTTTCCCAGATAGTCAGCAATATTGTACATATCTATAATCATAAATTGTCTTGCAGTTGGAATGCTACTATTGAAGGGCAACATGAAGGCTCCTGTGTGACTAAGGAATTCTTATCTCAGTAGCATTACAGCCACATGTGTAGAGTAAGTGAAAAAACCCACATGTATAAGTCCAAAGTTTTCAGTTGTATTGAATGGTTGTTACAGTAACTGGAGCATCCTCTTATCCATTTTATTAAGCCAATACCATTGTAAAAGCCATCAACAGATTAAAAAATTATCATTTCCATGCATCTCAGTCAGCATCTTAATAAAGTCTCATGGTCACAGATTCCATCAGTTATATAAATTGAGCTAAATAGTTAATATTTTCTGAATCGTTTCCTAATTCTGCTGCTGGAACAAGTTGCTCCCCCACCACCCATGTATTTCCCTCCTACACGCTACTTCCATTCAATTCCTCTGACAAAATCTTATCAGATTGCATGTGTCTGATAACTTTTCTTAAGGTTTCTGCATCTGAAACATATCCAGATTTACAAGAAAGAAGATTTACTCTGAATCCCTAGAGTAATAAAAACTTGTGGACAGCTGTTCCTATAATGAACAGAAATTGATTCTCAGAAACATGCAGTGATGGTGGCTTCACTTCCCTGACATGCAAATTATATCTTTATATCTTATATATGATAGTGTATAATATTCATAAATAAATATAAATTTATTATGTATAATATATAATATGTATCACACATATGCTAATGTTTTTAAGTTCACTTAAAATGCTGAGGGACTTCAGTTGTTTCTGTTTCTGTCAAAGTCAAGCTTAGGTTTCTCATGGGTGTAGAGAAGCTAATCTAATGCTTTCTGGCCTGTTCAGAATCAAGGACAACATGTCCTTCAGAACTGCACAGTTTGCACAATATTCATAAGCTAGACAGCCTTTCAGCTACTCATCCTGCGGTGTGCAACTGCTTTTTGATATGTGTTAAGTTCATGTTTGTCTTGATACCTGGGATTTTCTACTTTGTTTTATGATTTTCAGTTTTGCATCCAAAAAGGCACAATAAGAAAGATTCATTCATTCTTATGATAACTGCCTGCCAAAAGGATTTTTGTGTCATCAGACCCATATCTGGATCTTTATTTTGTACAGAAAAAATGGATATAATCCTTTGATTTTGTGAAAAGTTGTGGTAAGGGAGAGCAAGGTAGGAGGAGACTGCTTTATTCATGCATTCTCAAATTTTGAATGGGAAACCACATGAGGATTACAACCTGAAAGGCAATCCACTATAGTATGTGAACTTTAGAGCAGTTAAAAAGTCAACCTTGAGAAAAGAACTAAGTTCTCAACATTACCTCTAATAGAGATAGTGTTCAGCTGTCACAATGCAGGCCAGACTAGGCCACCTAAGTTGGTATAAGAATCCAGAGAAGGAATAAAGTACCAGACATAGTGCAGCGGCAGGTGAGAGACTATTATAAAGCAATTTTCATGATATTTATTATAGACCTCTAAACTAAAAAAAACAGCAAAAGATAGAAAGGAGCTTTACAACAGGTTCTCTATTGTGGGTTATTGTGTTTTCAACTGCAATGAACCTGATAATGAAGTCAGCTGAGACAGAGCATAAAGGTCTCACACTGACAAGAAAAATCATCCCCAAGAATAAGGCAACAGAAATGCCTTAACATTTACTACAAGTACAGTAACAGAGAATAGATTGCTACTAGTGACACTGAAAAAAATAATCAAGTAAGCAAAAATAATGTTTAAGCTCCAAATAAAGGTTCCTGGTATCTCTGAAAGGGCAAATAAAGAGAGAATGTAAGTTTAGGAGTCTGAAAGAGTAATAGGGATTATCAGAAAGCAAATGCTTTGCTGAATTACAGCATGCTGACACAAAATCTAACAGAGACAAACACTCTTTTATCTGGTTCCAAACTGCATTAACAATGATGGGGAGAAGAGGGAACAGCCTGGTTGTTACCACAGGGAGACTAGACTGGAAAATTTTGTTGTCTTCCGCCATCATTAAAAGCACAATTTTCTCACAGACAAAGTCAACATTTCATAGAAGTAAAAGAATTCCAGCCTGTGGCATGCGTCTGTGACTTGCTTTGGAATCAGCAGCTAGGATGAGACTTGAGGACAAGGGCCTTTGTGCCCAGCTGGGACTCTGAACTGCATGAATTTAAAGCTGAACTTTAGCACTGAATCTGAAAAATGCTTAGTAAGGGCTTTTGAAGCCCTGAAAATATTATTTTTCTTTAATTTAAAGTACTTGTTACCTTGTGGCTTTCTGTCTACAGGAGAGCAATACAACAGTTTTAAAAACAATATAGTACACTTCCAACTCTTCTAGAACTTGTTGTAACACCAAAACTAATCTTTATGACATGGCAATCCCATGCCCAAAAGGATCTAATTTAGATTAAAAACATAAATTTTTTTCTCCTGCATTCCGCCAATTATGGATCTGGCATCTTATGTGTTGCATATACACATATTATTGGACATAATAGTCTGGTCATTATGAGCTTCTTTATTAGGTTGGTAATACCTCTTTGTCAGGGACATAATCCATTCTTATGGCACAATGAAGCTTCTGATGGGAATTTTACCTCTGTAGCAGCCGAAGAATCATTTACTTCTTTCAGTTGCCATCACTCCTCTTTGCTGCTTAGAATAAAGCTGTAGGCTTCTGCATTATCAGCAGAAGCACCTTTACCTGCCCTCAGCTATCCTTAGCAGAGTGATGCTCATGATCCTTTCAGGGTGGATACAACACACTAGAGCACAACTGCCACACGTAGCAGGCATGCTCTGAGCTCACCTCATGTTAAAGGAATGCTTTGGGCATCAAGTGAAAAATGCCATTGTAGTTTTCCCAAAACACAGTGACTGGCACTGCTAAGGGTATTTTACAGTAGTTTCATGGTTAAAGCTCTTACTCAGAAATGATCTGATAGAATCAACCTGTCCCACCCCCCAGACATGTATAAAGTGGTGCTAGGGAAATGATCCTCTTATGTCTTTATTTATGAGCCTAGGCCACTGGAGTGAGATAAATTGTGCCACTGTAAGGAAAAGGAAAAATCACAATGCTGGAAAAAACATGTAAGGAGGAAAGAATGTGGTTGAATGGCAAATTGTGTTTCAATTCCTGAAGCTGAGTTTCTTATCTTTTTATGAATGATATAATTAAAATGCAGGTGGTAGGTGAGAGTTATCAGATTGTGAGATTTGCCATTCTAGGAAAATACCTATTGACTGAGTTATAAAACTGTGTTATTTATGACCTCATTCTTTTTTCTATAGATGAACCTCTGGTACCAAGGGATTGCCATGCACCAGAAAAAGAAAGGTAATTGAGCAAGGTCTCCTGTTTATACATGGTACTGCTCTAGTTATTAGGCATTCACACAAACACAGGCTGGGATCTGACCTATTTGAAGTGGCAAAGCATTGCACATATCCCATCCCATGAGTGGGCCAAGATGATATACATATGAGTGAAAAGCAGCCTTGTGATGTACTGAATTAGGTATCTAAGCCTTGGAGAGGGTTAGAAGTTCAAGACAACCTCATGTTGAAAGTTTTGTGTTTGCTAGCTTTTTGTAATTCTCTCTGAAGTGTGCAGGCTTTAAGCTCACTCTTCTGAAAGACCCATTTTTTGGTTAAAATGGAATTTAGAGATTAGACATTATAAATTGAATGCTGCAATGTGCATATTTTTAAAATAAAATTTAGACTTTGTCTGTCTCAAACAATATTTTTAACATTTTAATTACTTATTTTATGTCATGTTAGAAATAATTACTTTCCTCAGTTTTAATTTACTTATCCTAACAGCTCTTTGAAACAACAGATAGCAGGCTATCTCTGAATTCTACCCTGGGACTGAATGTAGAATTCAGGCAGGATAACCACTTTTAATACAAAGAAAATATGCTAAAACAAAGTAATTCTTCAAGCCTCATGTGCAAAACAAAGAATCTATGTAATTTCAATTTTCAAGCTGCTATTTGTCCCTGGGAATCCCAAATAAATAAAAATAAAAAGCAAATTATGCAATCAGGCAACTAGATCCCATCTAAACCTGATCACTAGAAAATGCATTTGATATGATGAAAATGTTTATTTCTACATCACTTCTGTGTTGGACATGGGTCACGATTTTATACTATTTCAGAATATCTTTTATAGCTTTCAAAAAAAAAATTCTCAAGGAGTGATGGATAATTAACAAATTCTACTTGTATTGGACTATTCTACTAAGAAATTCTTCCCTAAGGTTTTTTAACCTTTAATTTATTAAATTCCTTCCACATCTAAGGAGAAAAAAAAAAATTATTCTGTTAATATTAGAAGTTTCATAGATATTTTTGATTTATAAAAAAATCCTTAAGGGATTTGACTTCAGTGCTGAGAAAATGCAACGAAACTACTTCATAATTGGATATCTTTGAGTAGGAGTTTGAAATAGTAATTATTTTTTATTTTAATTTTGTAAAACTTTTGCTTCTCAGGCTAAACAAAAATTATATTTATGAATCCCGCAAACTACTTTCACCAACCAAAAGGATGGATTTTTACTGTTTAACAGTCCATGGTGCCACATTCAAAAACATGTGAACAATTTAAGCATATGCAAGCTTGAGAGCCTGCAAAGGAATATAGCAATATGATGTAATAATATAATAATTTAAAGTGGACTTTTTAGCAAGACAGTCCACACTTAGTCTTTGCTAGTAATTCATTATTATTCACCAGAGAAGCATCTTGTCCTAAGGCAAAAGCCTGACTTAGTTGAAGTCAGTAAGAAAACTCCCACCTACTTCAGTGAGATAGAGATAACATCTCTGGGGCCGTGTTCATTAAATTATATTTTTAAAGAATAATAAAAGAGTCATAGTTTGTTTTTTTTTTTGTTGTTTTTTTTTTTTTTTCACTGAAATTTACCCCCAGAAGGCAGTTAATTGCTTTACTGACTAGAGGAGTTTTAAGTTTCAAGGCTGTATATCATAAAAAAAGCTTGAAACTTCAATGTGAAATAAGTGATTACATAGTTTGGCATAATTGCAATATGTCACAAAAAGACAAGCTGTTAAAAACTGCATTAGAACTGGCAAAGTGAACACCTCTGAAGTACAACCAACGTGGTGTCATGCTTGGAACAGCAACACATATGTTCCAGAACATAGATTGCATCAGAATAGAAGAGGAGTTTCTTTGTCAAAGAAAGATATCATCTGATATTCTACCTACACAACAACAATTGTCTTTATTTATTATTGGTTATGGTATTTGTGTTAAGTACTTTCAGCACAGGAGAGTTCATGGTGACATAGATGTCACAAAAATAAAAGGAAGCAAACAATAGGAAGCAGTAATGTTTGACCTGGGACTGATTTCAGACAACAACTGCTGTTACCACTGCTGTGTGCTTTGTGAGCTGGTCAGTGCACTGTACATCCCTCTTATAAAAACATTTTTTCTTTGGTGCATCAGCCTGTAAGCAATACGGGAGTGCTGAGTGCCATTGGGAAATGCTGCTTCCACTGGTGTCTCTTGAGCTTCTTTTGCACTATTACCTATAATTATATAAAATTCCTTTGACTAAACAAATTAGCTTTAAAATTAACTGATCTTCCCTGCAGTTATGACTTCACCAGAAACTCCTCCTATTCTCATTCTCTCAAGTCTTTTGTGATCAGTTCTTAAACAAAAACCATGCTTGTGTGGTCTATTCCACTATTGTGGCTAAGGATATTCTGAATATATAAGGTTGTTTCAGATGACTTGATGACTGGTCAAACAAGGACCACAGACTGTGAACCATCACCCTACATGATTTTATTTATATAAATGTAATTTCTGTTCAAACGCCTCACTATTGGTGCTTATCAGCTGACTCTCAGTATCCTACTCAACCTATGCTTTTTCGGACAATATATGTGTGGCAATTTCATGTCCTGTTCAGATTTCAGGCTTCCAGAAGTATCCTAGGTGACCTTGCTGCCTTTCACATTTGTCTGTGGATAATATCCAGATGTATTTACAGAAAGGCATACCTAGAATAATACAAAATAGACTTCTCACTTCCTTGTTAACCTTTTCCATCTATACTCTCCTGAGTGTCTAGAAGCAACCTACATGCACACTGAAGAAACCTGGTTATTAGCCAGCATTTTCAGACATAAATGTGCCAATTCTGGTTACTGTAAATAACACATAATTACTATAGCATTTCACATAGCACACCATATTGGCTGACTTCTAAAACTGACTGGGAAACAGCACGACAGGAAGCAGTTGCAACATGCCTCATACACCACAGCTCATCTGAAACAGACTTTGAGGATTTGCAAGGCTGGGCATTCAAAGGATCTTAAGGCCTTTTATTCATCTGACCAGACCCTAAAGGAAAGCACTCTCTTAGGAGTTTTTCCAAACAAGCAGTTCCCTTAAGATTGAGTATGCAGAATTTAGACACTCTGTATAAAATCACCCATTCTTTTCAGGTAATTACCTTGCTTTTTCTGTCCAAAACACTTGAGGAACAACATTGATCGGTAAAGGTGCCATCTAGGCCTGCAGAATCTTTCTTGGTTTCCTTTGTGTCTTTCTTCTTAAATTGATTTATTCTGTTCTTCTGTGTATTTAGCCATTTTCTGGTGGGTTTGCTTTTGTAAATTTGTGTCTGCTGGTCTTAAAACCCTCATTTATTTTTCTCCTTAAAGATATGTGATAACAAATCTTAGACCAGCTTGCTCTCCCATTACTCAGTCCATTACTGCAGCTGACACCATAAAGAGCATGATAAGTTTGAACACACACACAGAAGCCCACAGATCCTAAAAGATGGGTGCATGTTCCTTTTAATTTTAAGAATATAGGCAGTTAATCCACATTGAACAGAAATTACATTTATATAAATAAAATAATGTAGAGTGATTGTTCACAGTCTCTGGTCCTTATATGACCAGTCATCAAAGAAGTAAATGCTCTGAAACAACCTCATATATTCAGAATATCCTTAGCCACAAACCTGATAATTTGCTGTGTCCTGGGCCACAAAAAATATAAACCTTGGATTGTTGTTTCAAAAGGTTCACTAATTTCTGCTGTATAGAATATTTACCATTCTTTAAGTAAAAGAGACATTTTAAAATATTTATACTGTATATTTTCATTTTTCCTTAATGAAGTCACATTCAAGTCTTAAACAGAATTAGTGTTAATTTAGCAATTAAGTGGGATAAATATTCAATTGAACAGTGTTTTTATGCAAAAACTGTTTACATCAGGATGGTTTTGAAGCTAAGACAGGAACATAGGAAACTTTTAGGAACATAGATCTTCATAGGAGTTTTACTTAAGATGAGAAAAGAAACTTTGAATAAAAGTTATAGCTTTCACATTCATTGAATCATCTGTCATTTCCACTATACATATGAGAATAACTTTCCCCTAGCTTTATGATGCTACAGGAAGACTGTAGCTGTAGAATGAAATTATATGTAAGTTAAGTTGCAAATTTCCAGTATTTCTGATATTATGCTTCTGAATTCAACAGCTAACTCATCTTCATCTTTTTCAGAGTACCTTATTTGCACATAAATAAATGTCTGTTCATTTAGAAGTGGCTTAATAGACTGTTCTATGACATCATAGCAATGTGTCCTCTGTTTGCGGGATAAAGCCAGTACATATTTTACTAGCAGTTTCTCGGTTGTAAAAGTCTTAGGATGGTGATATTTAGCATGGTGACCACATGGGCAGATAAAAATAAGCAGAATACTTTTATGCATGATATGCTGGCTGAAAAGTAAGTTATTAGAATTTCCTGTCACAGTGTATACCTCAAACAATGAGTTAAGAACTGTATTGAGAAACCTCATAGTTTCATTGGTGGCAAGAAAGTAACATGCTGGCAGACCACACAAAAGCTGGTGAAATCAATGTTCTGTGTAAGCCAAGGGGAGGCTATTGATGAAGTTTTCTTGCTCAAGCTACAGGAATCATTGCACTCTCAAGCTTTCATTCTGCAACAACAACAGATGAGGAGCAGGCTGAGGTACTCGAAAGGTTTTTTTGCCTCAGACTTCACTGGTAACCTCTCTTCCCAAACCTCTCAAGTGGATGGATGGCAGGATGAAGACTAGGGGAGCAAAGTTCCTCTGACTGTAAAGAGCAGGTACATGAGAACCTGGGGAACCTTAAAGCACTGTGGGACCTGATGGGATACATCCTAAAGTCCTGAAGGAGTTGGCTGATATAGTTGCCAAGACATTCTCTTTGATATTAGAAAAGATATCATGACAATCAAGGGAAATCTCAGATGACTGGGAGAAGGGAAATATTGTACCTATCTTTAAAAAGTATTAAAAAGAGGATCTTGGGAACTAGAAACCTGTTAGCCTCACCTCTGTGCCTGGCAAGATCATAAAACAGATCCTCTTAGAAGCTGTGCTAAGGCACACGGAGGACAGGGAGGTGGTTTGGGGCAGCCAGCATGGCTCCACCCAGGGCAAGCCCTGCCTGACCAAGTGGACTTCTATGGCAGAGTGACTCTATCAGTGGACAGGGGAAGGGCTACAGTTGTCATTTACCTCAGCCTTCTGTAAAGCCTTTGACAGGGTCCCTCCCAGCCCTCTTCTCTCCAAATTGGAAAGAGAAGGATTTGATGGGACTATTAGATGGATTAGGAATTGGTTTCAGGGTAGTGTTCAATAGCTCAGAGTCCCGATGGACATCAGTGACAAGTGATCTGTATTGGGATCAGTGTTATTTAATATCTTCATTAATGACTTAGACGAAGTGATTGACTGCACCTCAGCAAATTTGCAGATTACACCAAGCTGAGTGGTGTGATTGACACACCTGAGGGATGGGAGGCCCTTCAGAGGGACCTGGACAAGATCAGGAAATGCTCCCATGAGGTTTAACAAGACCAAGTACAAAGTGCTGAGGAAAACCCTGGTATCAATACAGGCTGGGGGATTAAGCAGCCCTGTTGAGAAAGAATTGTGGGTGCTTGTGGGTGAGGGGATAAACATGGGTTGGCAATGTGCACTTGAAGCCCAGAAAGCCAAAGGCCAGTGTCCTGGGCTGCATCCAAAGCAGCGTGGCCAGCAGGGTGAGGAATGGGACTCTGTCCCTCTGTTTTGCTTTTATGACATCCCAACTACAGTGCTGCATCCAGCTGTGGGGTGCCCAGCACAAGGAAGACATGGACCTGTTGGGGTGAATCCAGAGGAGGAGCACTAAGGTGATTAGATAGATGATGCATCTCTCCTACAATGGAAGACTGAGACAACTAGGACTGTTCAGCCTGGAAAAGAGAAGCCTTTGACATGACCTAAGCCTTCCAGTGCTCTGTTTACAAGGGCATGTAGTGACAGGACAATGGGGAATGGCTTCAAACTGAAAGAGAATAGGTTTACATTAGATATTAGAAAAAAATTATTTACTGTGAGGGTGATGAGGCACTGAAACAGGTTGACCAGAGAATCTGTGACTGTCCCATCCATGGAAGTGCTTAAGGTCAGACTGGATGCAACTCAACAACCTGACCTAGTGCAAGTTACACCTGACCAAAGCAGGAGGGTTGGAACTAGATGATTTTTAAGGTCTGTTCAAATCTAGGCCATTCTACGATTCTGTAAATAAAAATACTTTTCATTCTCAATGGAGGTATTTCCAACTTGAAGATATTGGGTATACAGTTCCTACATATTGGCGTCTTATCACATTCAATATTCTAAAAATGACAAACAGCTACCACATTCATGTCTGTATCAATCAACAACATAGAACAATGGCCCTATACTTTAGATGCTTGAAATTATAAATTGCTTATACAGGTAACAGAGTATAATTGGAACATTCCTTGGTGTGAAATGGTGATGTCTTCCTTTTTAGTCCCTTGTACCTGTAAATCATTCCACATAACACATCTTAAAACTGAAGTGACAGGACTGACGAACAAATTCACACAGACTTCGTGTAACACTTCACACTATATCCCATTGAGTGTTGCAATATATGTCAATTAATATTGCTTCTTTACCTTATAATAGTTTGAACACATTTTGTTCCCTCCAAATTATCTTGAGAATTCTTTTATTTAATAGAAATAAAATTCTGAGACTATCAATTGTCTTTTACATCTCTAGTATAAGGTAATAACTTATCCAGGTGTCAATTCTGCGATTTTCCAAAATAGTTTTTCTAAAATAAGTAGGATTTAAAGGACAGGTTGGTTCATTACAGTTTTTAAAGAAGACTATTGTAGCACTTAAAAGAACTTGCTTTTTTCTCTTAGTATATATTTAAGTATTTTATATAACACGATTTTTTTTAACTTCAAACCAATATTCACTAACTGCTGTAAAAGCATTGGTAGACCATGATTTGCAAATTTGAACACTCCATAATTTGCATATAAAATTCTCAGCAAAGACTTACTAGAAGAGACTTGTCATGAAGTTTCTTCTAATATGGATCCCCTTTCCTGAAAATCATAAGAATCACTAATATAAAAAGAAGTGTTGTAAAAGTGTGAATCACATTATTAAATAATAGCTAATTAGCAAAATGAAATACATTAAAATTAGTTATTTACTTACTAATTTGCAACGCTGTAGATTTTCTCCTCAAAAGAATGGACCCATGGAAGAACGGCAAAATATTTAAATTCTATCTAAGACCTTAAAATAGCACTGAAGGAGAACAGTATCTTTATTATCTTCAGGAGTTATGAGAACTAGCAATAGTCTATTTCATTAGAATTGTTTCTAGTATTATTTCAAGTCCCAGAGCTCACTGTTCTTAAGATCATCTCAGGGTTTTTCTCTGTAAAAACGGTTTTACAATCCCACAAATATTTGCTGGCCAAACTCACACTATGCAATGCATAATTATTATAAGAGATATCTAAGGACAGATAGCTGAATGATAGGACACTTAATAAGTAGATACAATAACAACAGGTACAGCAATATCTGAGGATAAATAATCTTTTTCTGGCTACAGTAGCAAAGAGAAAATATCAGGAGCAAAGGTGTGCACCCTCTCCAAAAGAAATCATCAGAGCTCTACCTCAACATCTGGGCATAATCTTTAAACCATAACATGTAGTATCACTCATTGGAGCATATAGCCTGCAGGTGAACTCTCATCCTATGTGCACAGGATAGCATGCAGGAAATTGAGTGTATTATTAATAACTTAATAAGTGAATGTCAAAAAAAGCACTGAGAAGATTACCTCATTAGTTAAATTGAAAATATTTTTAACATGCAATGCATAAACAAAGTATATTTCCCCTATTTTTAAATTTTTAATATTTAAAATACTAATTATTTTAAATGAGAATGAATACTTTTAACCTTTTTTTTATAACTGATTGACAATAAATTCTATCATGAAATGGTTAATTCCAATTTTAATACTTTTAAACATTGGTTGATTAACATTGCTTTTATGTTTGCATAAAAACAATGTTTCTTTGCACAAATACTTCTATTGATTCTGTTGGCTAATCATTTTTGCAACTGTCATTGACGGTGACTTCCTCTACATCTTTCATTTTTCAGTGCCTCATGGTTCTAATGATAACCAGAGGGACTAATTTGAGCAACAGTTTTAAAGTAGCGGAAACATTCCATGCTAAGTGAGCAATTAATTGAAATATTCTCCTCCTATAATACATAGTATTAACCATTCTAAAAATCCTCAACATGTATAAACAACAAAGGCAAAAGTATTTTGATAGATTTACAAGTGCTTTAAAATGTACTTCTCTGAAGTTATTGCACAAATAGTAATAGGTTGAATAAACATTAAGATACTATAACAATTAAAGTGATAATATTGAATATACATATAATGATAAATGTTAAGTTACAGTTCAAACATTAGTACATGCTGCATAACCCAAAATTTCACACTCATCTGATCTCCATCCCTCATATATTAACTTCAACGTGACTATATTTGTCATATTTTGAACACAAACACTAAAAAATAAGGGAATGAAAAATTAAATACTTATTTGGTATTTATTTTTGTTTTCCTTCATTAGAAGGTGTATATATTCTGTTCAAAATAGTATTTCCTCCCTGCTCAGGAGCAGATGATTGTTAATATATTATAGTAGGTATCTGTGCACAGAAGGAAAGTTGAACAGTCAGTGGAAAGGTGCAATCCACTGAGTAGCATAATTAAGGGTGAAAAAAGTCCCAGAATAACTTTTAAGTCTGATGATGGATGACTCCTTAACCTGTCAAGACCATACAACATTGGCAATGTGAGCTGATATCTATTTCTGGTATCCAACTAACCACAGAACTCTTGGTAAGACAGAACATTATATTTACAGTGATAGCTCTTTAACTCCTGAGAACAGCTCAATATTTGGTCTTGAGAGTGCTGCCAATCAAATATAAAAAAGGCTGCCTTCAAGACAGCTGGGTACCATTTCTAAAGAGGCTAAAAGAAAACACAGTAAATACTGTTATCAAAATAGATGAGTATGCTCTACACTCTGTGAGAAAAAAATATGAAGGAATAATCTTTTCTACAGCCCTTGGCTGAAATTCAAGGAAGAATGATTTGGTGTGTCTATGTTTGGGTCCCTGAAATTTAATGTTTAGCAGGAAGCAGATATCACCTTTTCTCAAAATTGCAGGTCTTTGACCATGCTCCTCCGATCTGTGAAGAAAGTCTGGCTGCTCCTCAGGAGCACCTCACAGAGACCCCTCTCTGAGAACAAGCAGTTTTTTCATGCCTTTCTACACTGAGTCCACTGCATTTTTTCAGTCTTCTCTCTTCTTGGAAGGAATGCACAAAGGAGGAAAAAACTAGTGGACAGTGCACTAGCCATCTTGAATGTGTAGTGCAAAATCCCCTGTTTCTCATAACAAACAAAGAATGCAAGCTGCTATTAACCTGAATATAAGCAAATGTTTCTGAGATAGTTGTTATTAGAATCTTTCATGGTTTGTATGTGTTTCCTGATGTGCTGGAGCCAGACAAAAATTCTATATATGCATTTAAAAGCTCCCATATAAAGCTTGTTGGTATAAAATGAAGAGATGTCTTGCTAATTTTCATTACTTTCTTTTTAAGTATTTGAAATGGGAGCATATACTTCCTTAATTATTACAGATGAAGCTTCTATTCATTAAGCATAATATTAATATTTTCCTTTTCTTTTCACTCATTACTTCCTCTCAAATATTTGCCACCTTGAAATTTTGTTCAAGTTATACACTTTAAAATTACAAGCAATTTTTTGTGTACTTAATGTTCCATATTAAGCAAGTGGAATTTAAATTCTCGTTTCCTTGATGTTCTGTTTTATGTTAAACAAATTGAGGATTATGCATTGATGGTATAAATATACATATAATCACTTCTTTAATTATGCGTATGATTGCTGCCTAACTTCGTAATATGTTCCTACAGTTACTGCAGAACTAAAATATTTTAATTTTCAAACTGTTTTTCAAAATGTTAATTTGCTTTCATTTCAGGGCTTTCTATTAAATGTATTTAAGAAAAGATCTACAATGGCCTTGATATTGATTTATCTGCATATTAATTGATTTATGTTTCTGTTTTCTTTAACATTTTTTTAATGACAATTTTTCACCTCTTCAAAGGATGGAAATGTAATCTAGAAATAGTATTTAATATATCTTCTGTTCTGTAAATACTGGAAGAGGGAACTTGCTGTGTCATAATGATTATTTCTCTGTACCACACTTAAAATATTTATTATTTAATATTTAATATTTAATATGAAAAAATACTTGCTACAAAAGCATCTTCAGATTTTTCAAACCTGACAAAGGAGATCACTCAAGAGTACTTGTTCCCTGTCCCATTTGTTTGCCAGTTCTGAACTGAATGAGATGTTTTTCAACCAGGAAAACTGAAGGCAGCCAATAAATTGTGGCAACGCATGTTTGAAGTTTCTGTGCAGAAGGGACCATGCCTTCTGCATGAGAAGGACCACACCTTCATAGAGCAGCCCCAAGCCCCTCGTTGGAGGCATCCGGAGCTGGGGGCAGGTGCAGCTGGGCCACCCTGGGAGTGCCAGTTCCTTTGGCTCTCAGCAGTGGAGGGCTTCTGACCCTCCTGCTACAAGGGACTGAACGCTACAGAGAGTAAGTAGGTCCTGCAGCAGAAGGCTCCATGATGGAGCTTGAACTGTGGTGTCTCAGTGGATGCGGTGAAACTTAATTGATCGCATCTCAGCTGAGGAGTGCTGGACAATAAATTGTAGCCTGTGAAGACTAGCAGGCGCTAAGCTGAAGGGTACTGTTAGTCCCAAAAGAAAGAGCTGTCAGCTGGGTAGGTAGAACCACATCCTTCTTGGCTTGTTCTCCCTCTGAAAGGTGGCCAGCTGCCAGCTAGGTGGCTGGGAATGCAGTGGGGAGAGATGGCTGAGCCGACTTGCCTGCTTGCTGTTGCTGAAAGGCCAGCACTGTGTACCCACTTCTCTGGGCTGTGCATTTCCCCTGCTTCTTTGTTGCTTGCTGCTTCTCTGACCTCTCTCTGAGCCAATTCAGTTCATTAAACCATGGGTAAACTAACGCAACCAATAGAGGAAATAGCTTTTGGTCGAAATAATGAGTCTGTTTGCTGAGGGGTCAGATACATGCCAGAGATGGAATGCAAGGCAGAGGAGAATGGGACTGCTCCTTTTGGCATCAGAAAGCTGTTAAGCCTGCTCAGTTGTTCCTGGAGCACACACCTCCAACCACAGCCTGACAATGCAGATAGGGCCAATGAAAAGGCTAACCCCTGCTGAAAGGGATGTTCCCACTTCCTTCCTCTCCAGCCTGGCTTTGTGCTTCTCCTGGCACTAATGCTTGTTTAATCCTACCACCAGCTAGTCTGGGGAGGAGATTACTTCATTCTTTTGTTTGTTGGGGTGGCTTTCTAACCTACTTGCTGAGGGGTCAGATGGTGGTAGGAGTGAGGTGGGAGTGCATGGCTGGACTTCCTCTTAGCGTCCCAGTTGGCCTTTGAACCGCTTTAACTGCTTTGTTAGGCTGTGATCTGCAGTTCTGCTGGCTAATTATTGAGAGTAGCTAAACCCCAGAGTAAGATGAAAGCAAAGTGTGCAGGCCTGTAGGCTCAGAGAACTGTTTGTCTGTAGGTTGCTGACGACCATTGATGACTTGGATGGTCCTCCAGCCAGGTTGAGGAGTTTCAAATGAAAAAAATCTGTAAGCTGGGTGACTGAAAGCTGGTAGAAGGAGGTCATGCAGCTGAAATGACAGCTGCTGTAATGGATGAGTGGCTTCATGCCCAGCAGCTGTTATGTGGTAGCAATAACTCACTCAAGTATGATTGATTTGTGAAGCTGGCATTACTACAAGTTTATGTGTGTACACATGTGATATGTGCTTACAAGAAGCCCAGTGACTGGAGTCCCAAACTGAGTCTCAGCAGTAATGAAAATTGCAAACAGTAGGTGACCAATGAACTGAGTCTCATCTGAGTGGAACTACCTTTCTAAGAGTTGTTTATAGACATCTTTTGACTATAAATGAAGAAAACCGTCTGCTTGCATTCAAAGATCACAGTGAGGCTAGGAACAGCGCTGAGCTTATGTGCATGCGAACTCTGATTGAGACCTATGCTGTAGGCATATATCCAAAAAACTTTAGATATTATTTTTTCCAAGATACTCCTCTTTTCAGAGCACCTCCCTTGTTTTCCCCAGTGGTCTTTTTCTCTTATCGTGTATTGCATAATCCACAACATTTTCTTTGTTTGTCAGATAGGGTGGACCTAATTTCAGCTATTCATTTTGCTCATGTAATAACTGGCCAAGTTAATGAATCAGGTGTGTATAGCATATAGAATAAAAATGATCTTGAGTTTCTTTTTATCTCTGACAATTAGTTATAAAACAACGTTTATAAATATTTTTAATGGTGGGTGAGATTTCAGATTATTTGTAGTAAGGCTATAGATTACAATAAGCAGTTCATTCCCTAGATAAGTTACAGTAGGAGAGAGTAGTTCTCCACACTTAATCTGTGATGACTGGCATAGAAAAGGAGAAGCTCAACCCGGTGAGCAGCAGCTCTGTAAAAAAAATGCTGACAGCACAAGGCCCACTTCTGCTCTTGCAGGCTCACAGCTCACTGCAGGATGGATAGTGATACTGAACTGTTGACCTCAAGCAACTGGCAAGTGTTTTTTCAGACCTGTGAGAATGCTGACCCTAGAAAAAAAGAAGTACTGCATGCTAACTTTGGATTAATTATTTCCTTAGGATTCTGAAAAGGTAAAACTTCTAATAGCTGTGCTGACTTACCACTCTGACTAGTGAAGACAGACTTGATAACAAGCACTGAAGTAAGCAGGGCAAGCACGCCCCAAGAGGGTGTTAGAAGAGTCTTGTGGCAATATTCTTGATAATTTTTGAGACAGATGTATTGGGGGTGGGTGTTCTGGGGATAGGTTGATTTATGTTGGGGTCAGGTAAAGACCCTTAATGAGGATACATAGAAAATAAAAGCAGACCTAAAGTGGCTAGTTGCCACTCTGGCATGCACAATCTGCACAGATTTAAATAATTAACACATTTAAAGTCCCTGTATCCAGTGCATTTGCAGAGATCAACAAATTAATTGTATTTGCAGTGAATTGATTTGAATTTCCTTGGTTCTTCTATGACGAAAGTTGGTTTAGGTCGATGTAGTGGTTCTGAGCCATAAGTGCCTTTCGGGCAGTTTCACAGTGAAAAGTAAATGAATGTATGACATACACAGCAATATATAGAAAGTGCTTTTCATGCTTTTCAGACTTACTGACTGAGCATTATAGCAGAATAAAAATTAAAAGAGAAAAATCAAGGTCTGTGCTTTGTCTAGCTGTCAATATAACACAACTAGTTAAAATTGGAAACTAGGAAAGTAATTTTATCCTCTACAGAATAAGACTTTGTTTGAAAGCTACTTTGCATGCTTCATGTATGATCTATCACCTTTTATTCTGAAATTTCATTGATGTGGTTGGAAAAGTTAACAATAAACACAGGCTAACAATTAGAAATATTACCAGTCCCTGTAACAGAAGTGTACAAGTTCTTGCTCCATTTGCACTAAAGGATGTACTTATTTCATTATACAGGTAGTAGCTACTGAAACATGCAAAGATAGTTTATGTTTTTCATTGGTGGGCAAAGGAAACACTGGATGAGCTCTTAACAATGCAGCTTACATTAGACCTGGAAAGATTCTAGAAATACAAAATGTAGAAATTTAATCTTCTCCAAACTTCTGTGACATACAGACTGGGAAATAAGTTGCTGGAGGGCATAGGACTTTCACATGTTTCACCAAAGACTTGATAATGAAAACATATTGAATGGCTTAAAAGCAAATATATGTGAAAACTGTAAGAACTCTTTTTTGTTCAGAGCTAAAATAAATTCATATTTTTTGATAGGCAAGATATTTGGTATTTATTTCAGCACCTTTTGGTTTGCCTTTTATATTGTTCCTACAAGACCAACATACTTGCCTCATAATAATAATAAAACAGATTTCTTAAAAGAAAAGAAAGAAAAGGAAGAAATGACATCACTATTTTCATGGTTACAAAGTGTTTGCATATATTACCTGTGAATGACCAGGGAAATCTGAGGTAAAATCACATGTTGGAATTTAGAAAGGAATACTGAGAAAAGGAAAGAAAAAATAAAGCCATAAGAATGTAAAGAATGTGACAAATAAAAATAATGGATGAAAAACAAATGTACCTTGGTGGATGCATACATGGAGTTTCTAAAATTCATACTAAAACATTGCAAATAATTGATTTCAGGTATCAGTCAAATTCAAAACCAAGTAAATTTTATTCAATGCTGATGTCATTAACATTTGCTTTTACATAGAAAAAAAAAGTTTTTAAAAGAACTAACTGTGTTCATTAAGATTTCCAGAATGTATGTTGCGGTGCTTTTGGAGTACTACCAAAATGAGAGACTTAATCCACAGCAGGAAAAGATGCTTTCCCTTTTGCTTTGTAGTTCAGTAATGCTACCGCTTCTGAAGCGATAAACATCTGATAAAATTCCTCTAAGTGGGTACTAACTGTAACTATTGAAAGTGATGGATTCTTATTTCAGGTCCAGCAAATACCTGCCTACATGACTTCCTAAAGAACAGATTGAGAAGTATTCAGGACACTTCTGTAGTCTGATGACCTGGGTAGCCTGCCCCATGGGGCCTGTTTTGTTTCACACTTGCTGCTCTGAATAGAGTGGACTACTTAGTTGTGTTTCCCATTTTACAGGGAAGACTTTGTTGTGAAGGGGGAAGGTTTGGAGAGAGGATTATGAATACAAGGAAATTCTTCTATCTATTCTGATGAAGCTGTAACCTTTTTTTAAAGCACACATTGAGGCTGAATGTAGAAGCAGATTACCTGTTTCTAATAAATGATTCATGACCTCAGGCATCCTACAATCTGTTTCTTAAAAATTTAGAAAACAGTAAGGGAAAAAAAAAAAAAACTATGTCTGTTGGTTTTCAGTCTAGGTCTTAATTTCCTTATCTTATGCACTGGAGGCAAAATAGCAAATTAGATCACATCAATGTCTTTTATCACTATTATTCTGATTGAAGCTATCAAGGATCCCCTTGGAGTTTTGCCTCGCTACTGTGAAACAGGGCAATGCCACAGTGTAAGTGATGCTCCGACTTCAGCATCACAGCAGTGAGGCACAGCATGAAATTAGGAAAAGCATATGTTCCCTCTACAGTCTGTGCAGCTGAGTTTGGTGGGTGCTATGATGTAATGGGTCTGCAGATGTAATGGGCGCCCTACAGAGACTAAGTCCAACGAGTTTCAGGTGTTCCCATGGGGAGAGTAGCTGGAGCCTGAAAATTCAGACAGCGACCACTGCAGAGAGCCTCCTTTGCCTAATTGCAAGTTGCTGGGAAGTATATTTGGGCTGTGGTTTTGAATAGAAGGTCATTCTAAACATGATGTTATTTTTCATGCATTTGTAAAAAACACCTGTAAATGAAGAATTTCTTTGGTCTGTCAACTTGGAAACTTAAAAAATATTTCTGTTTTGAAACAGAATAAACTTTCATACCATGACTTATCATTTTCAGAATACTTTGCCCAGAGGTTATCTTAAAAATAGATAATTTAAAAAAAGCATATTAAAATGAACAAAATTTTCAGAAAGCATTTTGATGCTTTGGGGAGGGAAGTGACTGTGGCAAGCAAATATTTTTGAAGATGTGCATCTGTGTAATTGTAATGGAACAATTATTGGAAACATACACTCCAATGATTATTATTTTTCAGAAAATACATTTCTGGAAAAAAACCCCAACACAGTAATTCCTGGCATCATTATCTATAAAAAAAGCCAGATCTTGTGAATTCATTAGGTTCATATGTAGATTTTGTTTTATGGTTCTATTTTTATTCTAATGTATCATATTCAGGAAAAATATTTGGTTAATTAAGAGCATGTTGTATGGTAACTTTAGGGACACTTTATCTATTATTATTTATGGTATATGAGGCTTTTATTGTTCTAAAGCCAGGTGTATATATATATATATATATATCTATATATATAGATATATATATATATCAGTATATATACTGATACATGCAGATATATATATCAGTATATATCTTACACCTATTTCTTTTTAAAAGAGCGAGTGATTGCATTTGTTGCAGGCATCATAAATTCTTTATATGCAGCAACTCTTGTAAATACTTCCACTTTCTTAGAATTTTTTTCGCTTGTTCTAGAAATTTCAGCAACTTATCATCTACTTGCAAAAACCGTGCTGAGGTTCACTTGCATTTAAATTTTCTGTTATAATTCTGTAAAACAGTGAGGGGGGCAGTTTGAATTTGCACTCTCAATTCGGTTTTTATTTGTTTATTTGAAGGACAAATGACTTGTTGATGAAAAGATTTGCTACAAATAGTCACTTATATGTGTACTTAGAAACCAGCAAAGAATCCAAGTCTTCATACCTAGTGACAGTAGTAAAATTGCTTCACATTAAAGTAGTCCCTTCAAATGAAAAAAAAAAAAAAATCTGTATGAAGGTGTCAGTTCAGTTAAACAATCATTTTCCTAAACTCCAGCAAGGATTAGTTTTTTTTTTCTGTGCAGAAATCATGAGCTTACTAGATAAATATAATATTTAAGGTTAGCCATGTTCTCAATAGTCTACAAGGAGAAACACATCAGAAATGTAGTTACTTGCATGGTGAGTTGGTCTGTGTGAAGACTGTTATGGATGGATAATAATTTTTTTAAATGTTTTGGAAAC